GAGGCAAAGGAATGGGGCTCCCCTCCCCCCCCCCCCCCCCCCCCATCCCAGTGGCTCATCCCCTGCCACATCGGTGCCAGATCTCCCCCAGGACTAGGGACCCAGCAGCACCATCATCCCTCTGTGAGGTGTCCCCAACGCTGGGGCAAAGGGGCCCCATGCCAGCTTGGAACAGCCGCTTCACCCGCCCGGAGGAGCAGATGACCCCGAGGACCCCAGAGCCACAAACCCCACCTGCTGTCAACAGAGGGACAGGCTCTGACACAACCACCCTCTGTCCCCATGGCTAGAGCCCCCCAGTGCTCTGCTGGCCCGGTACTCCCCCATCTCTCCTCATCTGAGCTCTTTTTACCTCTTTAACTCTGCCAGCTCCTTAGCCTTCATCTCTGCCAATGCCAGCTCTACCTCCTCCTCTGCCCCTTTCACCACCTCATCAGCTGCGGCTCTTGGTGGCATCTTCTTCTCCTTCTCCTCCTCCTCTTTGCCTTCCTCCTCTTCACCGGAGCTCAGGCTGCCAAAAAGAAGGAGCTCAGACCATCTCTCCTGGTGGCAAGGCCCATCCCACCGTGCTGGCACTCTGGGGCAGCCCTGTTGTTCCTACTTGATATCCAGCTCCTTTGCCTGCTCTTTCAGCTTTTTGGCCAAAAACCGCCGCAACTTCGTCCTTTCAGCAGGGCTCTGTGCGGGGAGGCAGACTGTTAGAAACACCCACCAGGCCCAGCATAACGCCCTGTCCCAGTTCCCCCCGGTACCTGAGCTCTTTGCGTCCCAGCACGCGGATGTCCTTGCAGCACTGACGCAGCTCCTCCGTGGTGGAACTGTGATTCTCCAGCTCACCGTCCCCCAGAGTGATCTGCACAGAGCGGAGGGAGAGGGCTGTTATGCCCGAGATCCAGCTCCTGCCCTGCCTTCCCTCCACAAGAACAGGAGCGGGGCTGTGGCAGGGGGAGGGAGAGGGCTGTTACGCCCGAGATCCAGCTCCTGCCCTGCCTTCCCTCCACAAGAACAGGAGCGGGGCTGTTGCGGGGCACCTGGCTCCCTCTCTGCATCGCTCTGTGCTCCTGGGGACGTCTCAGGGGCCACCAAGGTCCCCCCCCTCACTTCAGGCACTCACCTCGTTGGCCTTGGAGAGGAAGTCCACGGGGTTAGGAGCCTTGAGGAAGTCCATCAGGGTGAAACGGTGGTAGAGGGTCGTGTCGCCATCTGCGTAGCCTTCTGCCTACAGGAGGAAGGAGCCGTAAGAGCCGTAGCCGGGCACATACAAGCAGTTTCAACCACCCCTAACGGATGAATGATGTCACGTAACTGCTGTCTTGTTGCCGTGTCCCTGTCCACCTGCCTTCGGGATTTGGGGACGTGGGCAGGTTCCCCGCCCCAACCTGCCAGCTCCACGGCGTCTCCCAGTCCCACCTCAGGCTCAGAGAGGTGACAGTGGTAGAGGTTTGTGTCAACTCCATGCCCGGCTGAGGCCATTTGACATGGCCTTTACTGTCCTGTGTCCTAAAGACACCTCAGAGACACAAACCCAGCGGCCAACCATTGTAGGGAGGGTTTTACCGATCCATCCCCAGCCTCACAACTTGTTCACCGCTTCCCCATCACTACACCACCTTCTAAGGCTGTAAACCTTCCCAAAACTGGCTCCTCCACCACTTCACATCCCCAGAACTTTCATTTTCTTGAGCAACTTTGCTCATTACAGCCTCTTTGGCCCCAATCCCCAGCCCCTTTAGTGTGTGTTTGGCCTTGCTACCCAGCAAAGCAAGCTCATACCTTCGGCTTCTTTTTGCTGACCAGCTCGCTAACAGACTTAGCCTGAACCTCCACCTCCTTGAACGCGTATTTTGGGTCAAAGAACTTGTTGTCGATTTTGTCTGGAGCCTGATAACCTGGGATGGAGGAATCAAGAGACATCAGCAGGTTTTTCCCAGCCCCATCCCAGCGGCTGCAGGTCTCCCCAGCCGCTCACCCTGGCACACCACAAAGATCTCAGCGGACTCGTTGCGGGAGGCTTGGGGCTTGGTGGCCTGGACCTTGTGGAAGAACTGCTGGAAGATCCAGAGAAGCGGCTGGTAGTCCCGGGAACGAAAAACCTTGGTGATGAACCAGCCGCCTTTGCAGAGGCATTCGCAGGCCAGTTAAACCCTGGGTGATGAACCAGCCGCCTTTGCAGAGGAATTCGCAGGCCAGTTTCAGGGCCATGAGGGTCAGGTTGGCTGGAGGCGGAGAGAAGAGCAGTCAGCAGTTATCACCGTCCCCACCTCCCAGCTCCCCGTCCCGCAGCGCACACCACTGCCACCCTGCCCTGCTGGCTATGAGATGTGCCTGCCCTCGCACGCCCCAGACCGTGCCAGGCCACACGCCAGCCCCGGGCGGGCCCCACCTTGGGAGTAGGCATCATGCACCCAGCTGGCTCCCACGTTGGGTGCTCCGTCGTTCAGCACCACGTCCACCTTCCACGTCTGCAGCTCCTTGCGCAGGGCCTGAGGGATGGGGACCCACGTTTGTCCCACTGGTCCCTCTGCACGAACCAACAGGCAGCACCTCCATCCACGTCAGCTCAAGCCCCTGCCACGGTTCTACCAGACCGGCGCGTGACACTTGGGCAGGGGAGGCAGGTTCTTACCTGGCGGCACTTCTCAGTGGTGATGTCCTCCTGCAGCGTCACGACGTTGGGAATGGGCTTGATGGGGACCAAATCCACCCCTGGCGTAAGGAAGAGATGTGACCACCGCAACCTCTCAAAACCGGGCTCCAGCCCATCCCACGTGGCTTCCCCACCTGCCCTCTCCTCCTACCAAGATCCCCAAATCCAGGATTCCCTTCCTTTGGCCTCATCCAGGGACTGCGGGGGAGGTCCCTGCCCTCAGCCCAGCCCTCACCCATCACTCACCAATGATCAAGCTGGAAACCGGCATGAATTTGGAAGCCACCTGCAGCCTGGAAACAACAGAACGGATCAACACTACAGCAGGATCCCAGGAGAGCCCCCAGCCTTGAACTGTGCTGCCCGGGTGTTTGGGATCAGCTTTGGCATCGAGGACAGAGGCTGAGATGAGCCACAACAGCAAACAAAAAAGCCACTTCACAGTGAAGTCCCAGGGCAGCTGGCGGCACTGGGCTGTGACCCGGGGCCCTGACAGCACTCACCACCCGCCGGGGGCTGCGCACAGGTCCAGCAGCGCCCGGGCCTTCTGCAGGAACTGGAACTTCCTATTGAGCTGCAGAAGCTTGAAGGAGGAGCGGGAGCGAAAGCCTGTGGGAGGGAGAGCCGCGGGTTACGGATTACCGGGGTTACGGGTTACTGGGGCCGCAGCCCCCCCTGCCCTGCAGCGAGCGGGCAGGCCCCTCACCCGTCTCCTTGGCCAGGTGGTAAAACTTGTCCCTCCGGCTCTTGCCCAATTTGCTTTTCTTGCCCATGGTGGCGCCGGGTGGGGCCCTCCGCCGGGTCGGGACCCTCCGCCGGGGCGGGACCTGCTGGCCGGCCCCCGGGC